GCTCCTCTCCGCTGTCCCACTTCTGTGCCAGAGGAAGGTCCCCTCTCAGGCACTCGCCCGGCTCTGGGAGGGGGAGCATGAGTCTGGAGAGGCAAGCACGGGGCGGCTGCGCTCACATAATTAAAAATAGCCACCACTGCTGTCTAGCGGCTTCCCCCAGGCTCAGTGAGATGGCTGCAACTCACATAATTAAAAATAGATTAAAAAAGTTATATTTTTCTTACCTTCAATCCTTTTTTTAGCATCTTCGTCCCTCTCTTTCTTCCGCCTTCTCTTCTGTTTCCTGCTCTGTATTCCCACTCTGTATATGCATGCAGTGGGGGTGGGGAGCTGGCGTACGTGCAGTTGAGCTGTTGCAATTGGGCGTGTGCTCTGGCTCTCTGCTCAGTTTCAAAGAATGCCTGTGCTGGCTCAGAGCTTTTGGACTTGCTTGGAAACTGTTTTCTCCAGGAGAGTCCAAAAGCTCTGAGGTGGGCCGGATGTGGCGCATGGGCTGTAGTGGAGGACCTATGTTCTATGTCCTTGGCTTAGGCAGAAATTTTCCTTAAAATATCCTCCCCCAAGTTAGATACACTTTTTAATACTAATGGCAACACCTTAAACCTTGCTTGATCACAGACTGGCAGGCTGTATAGATCTTTCAGTACAAGCATAATACATGTGTAGTAAAGCATCCTAGTGAGTAACCAGCTGGTGTATTCTGTGCTGGCTACAGCTCCTTAACCAGCCCTAAGGGCGGACCCACTCAGAGCCCATTACTCTAGTCTAATCTTGAGGCTATCAATGTGTGGATCACAACAAACACACTCAATACTGACATACTGTTTTAAGCTAGTAGTAGGTGTTCATACCAGGTTAGGTTATTGGGGCCTCCAGTGACAGTGATACCTGTAAGATGGAATCTGTTCCCTCAAGGGGAGTACATGAAGAGCTAGAAATTCCCCCCATTGCTGGATTTGGGAACTACTCGCCTTCTTAACAGCTTCAGCCTACTGGGGCCAAGAAGATCATTGGGTCCAACCCCCTGCTGGTGTAGGACGCCAGGTCACACCATCCCACTCAGGTGACTGTCCAGTTTCTCCTTGAATGTTTCTAGTGTTCTAGCCCACAACCTCTCTGGTGAACTGGTTCCACTGTCATATTGCTCTGACAGTTAAAAAGTTTTTCCTGGTGTCTAGCCTGAATCTGGTGTGCTGCAGTTTAAATCTGTTGTTCTCTGTCCTGCACTCAGGCATGAATGAGAAGAGAGGTTTTCCTTCCTCTTTGAAGAGTGTTACCATATCCCCTCATAGTCTTCTCTTCTCAAGGCTAAACTTGCCCAGCTCTCCCAGCTCCTCATCATACGACTTAGTTTCCAGACCCTGGATCATCTTTCTTACTATCCTCTGAAGCCTTTCTAGTTTTTCTGCATCTTTTTTAATCCTGGGTGCCCAGAATTGAACACAGTATTCCAGGTGTGATCTGACCAGTGCTGAGTAAAGGGGAACTAGTACCTCTCTTGTGTTCTGGAAGTAATGTTTCTATTTATGCATCCCAAAATAGGGTTTGCCCTTTTTTGCAGTGGCTTCATTGATTGTTCAGATTTAGCTTGTTCTCCACAACAACTCCAAGGTTTTTTTCTTTTTCAGTACTGTCAAGTCAAGTATTCCTCATCTTGTATCAATGCATTTGAGGGGGGTTTTTTGCCTAGGCGGAGAACATAGAATTTGTCCCTGTTGAATTTCATTCTGTTGCTTTGTGCCCAGTTGTCCAGGTCACCCTGGATCTTCTTTTTGTCTTCCAGGGTGTTAGCTATTCCACCCAGTTTTATGTCAACTGCAGATTTAATTATTGTATCTTGGATTTCCTCATCTTGATCATTAATTAATAAAGATGTTGAAGAGCACTGGTCCCAGGACTAAGTCCTGGGACACCCTACTTGTTACCACACTCCAGCTTGAGAAGGTGCTCATGATGAGCACTCTGTGTGACTGATTTTGTAGACAGTTGTGAATCCACTGAATGGTAGTTCGGTCAAGCCCTCTTTTTGCAAGCTTGTTTATCAGGATTTTGTGGGGAACTTTGTCAAATACTTTGCAAAAATCTAGGTAAATTATGTCAACCTCATTTCTGCTGACCTTTGGGGTGGTTACCAGTCAAAAATGAGATTAGGTTAGTCTGGCATTATTTATTCTTAAGAAATCCACGTTGGCTTCTATTAATCACTGAATTTTCTTCAAGGTGCTGATTTTTTAATAATTTGCTCCAATATTTTCCCAGGGATTGATGTTACACCGACTGGTCTATGGTTCCCTGGTTCATCTTTTTTCCCTTTCTTGTAGATGGGGACAGCTTCAACTCTTCTCCAGTCATCCAACACTTCCTTGGTTTTCCAAGATTTTTCAAAGATTATAGATAGTGGTTCAGAGAGTTCTTCCACCAGCTGCTTTATGTTTGTAGGATGGAACTTGTCAGGTCCTGGAGATTTGAACAAATTAAACTGCTCAAGGTGCTCTTGACCATTTGTTAATCAGGCTGCCATCCTGCCCTTTCGTGTTGAACATCCTCCTGTGTGGGTAGGTCATATTTTGTGTGAGGAGACTAGTGGAAGGAGAAGTTAAGCACCTCTGCCTTTTCCTTGTTATCTATTTTCTTTTTGCCATCCACATGGAGGAGTTGAATTCCTATCTCTTTTGCTTGTCTTTTCTTTTGGGTGTAACTGAAGGACGTGTCTTTGTTGTTCCAGCTCGAGTTCATGTTGTTTGTTTCCCTTACTCTAGGCATTGGTGTAGAAACTTGCTGTTTACTTGGGTTGCAACCTAGTTTTTTATTCCTGCAATTGTTGGTTTCTAGTCTGTTTTTAGTCCCTATTTGAGGTTTTTTCCTCTGCTGTGATGCATAACTCATTGCCAGTTGACATTGTGCACTGATCCATGTCTCCCCTGTGATTTAGTTTAAAGCCCTCCTAACTTGTGTTAGAATACTTATAAAAATCAAGACAAGATTATTATTAAACTTCTTCTATACCATCTGATTATTATGAAATATCAAGGCAGTTTTATATATGTTTATAATATTTCTTATATTTTTATAGTGTTATACTTTTACAGTGATCATGTTTTAAGAAAAAAGGTCAAAAGCACATGAAAACTTCTAGCATACTAATTTTATCATGTCTGAAGAGCTCTGCTCATAAATTTATGAACATCCTAGGGAAAAATTAACCCTGAAAAATTAAGTACAAATATTATTTTAGACTTTACTAATATTTTGTCTAGAAGTTATAGGAGTTTTTTTATCTAAATATGCATACAATTGTACCTTAATTGTATAAAATGTCTTAAAGTGGAAGATTTCAACAGAAAAATATAGCATGGAAAATTTTCGATGATGTTTGCATTTCACATCATTGATTCAGTCAGAAGAGTAGGTCTAGAGAGAGCTTTTATAGGACAGGTGGACAGGGATTCGTTTTTGAGGCTGGCTGATAAGCAGTTGATGCAGCACAAAACTTAATCTGCCAGATTGCAGTGGGAGTAGAAAACTAGTGACATATTGGATAAAGTTTTAGAGACTGACAGAAGTTCCAGTTTAAAATTCCTACGTGTATGCACACACTCTGCCTTACCAATGAGCAGTTAGTTCATATTTCCAGATTAGTATTACACAACAGAATAATATAACTGAATTTCTTTGGTAGAAAATCTCTTTACTACTCGAGCACATGATCAGGAGATGGTTCCTATGAAACTTCTATTTGTATTCCGTGTAAGACCCAGAAGTGGACTGATCACACATAATGCAAATAAATGGTTACTGCACAGCTGCCTTTCTTAACTTGTGTCCTGTGTTCACACATTCATGAAGTAACTAATCATGAGTAGTCTCCATGTGCCTCCATCTTCCCTCCAATTGGAAACACGCATCCCATCATCCACCATGGCTGGGAGCCAATCCCAGCATGCACCCCTCTCACCTGCATCACCTTACTTTCCTCCATTGCCTTGCACACTTCCCTTGCTGTGTTCTCAAGCAGGTTGCTGTTTTTCCCCCCTCCTGCTTTGTGGGGACCCCCGTCTACCTGCTGCTGCTGCTCCCTTCCCCCCTCCAGGTGCATGCTCCCTGATTCCCAGGCACCATGCCTGCTTGCCTGGCTGACCACCCATCTTGCACGTTGCTTCCCCCTCTTACTTCCTTGACACTTGGCTACGAGGCTGGCGTGGCAGCAGGCGGCAAGGGGGCAAAGCTGCAAGAGGCAGAGCAGCACACGAGATGGGTAATTGACCAGGTGATGGGCATGGCTGCAGCAGGGTAGTTGGTCATCAGGGAGCGCATGCCAGGAGGGGGGATGGGGAGTGTGGGGGCAGCCATTCTGTACCTCGTGCGCTAGCAGTTCAAGTGTTGTTAGGCAAACATGGCAGCAGAAGATGATTTTGAAGCAGCCACTCTTGCCACTGAACTTGCTGGCCAGAAGGGAGAAACCACAGAAAACCATTGAAACTGGCTTCACACATAACTAGAAGCAATGCTGAAACTTGGAAACCTTAGAACAAATGATTGGTTCTCCATGGTCATTCATGTTTCACTATGCTTCTGGTATTTTCATATAATGATTAGCTACTTCTGCCATGGATTGTTATGTGTGAATACAGCCATGATGTTGGACAAAACTCTTAGCCTTTCCCTTTCTCACTTAATGTTTCCTGCAGGAAGAGTCCTCGATGAAAACCAGTGATGAATGTTTGCTCTGAATAATTAATTTCTGGCTCTTTTCTTCCTTGTTTTTAAACCTGTTCACAGTTCCTAACTTTGCTGTACTGCTACAGAAGCTTGATTAGAAATTGGGAAAAATTGTGTATCCAAATAAATATTTGTAATAGTCTTAATTATACTGTAGAGCAAGCTTTTGAGAACTTTGGTGAAGTTATGAGCCCAGGAAGGAAACATTAAAGTGATTTGCAATGTAGAGGGAGGCAAATATGGCTGTTTGGTATAAAATAATGCTTATTTCCTCCATCTAGGGTTTGACACAAAGCTTCAAGCAAGAACCTTGGAACCTGACATCATGGAAACGGAAAGTGAGCAGAACTCAAACTCAGGCAGCAGCAGCTCAGGTTCTGGAGGAAGTGCTCGCCCTCAGATATCGCAAATGACCCTCTATGAACGGCAGGCAGTACAGGTCAGGGGTTATCATTGTTCTTGGAATGGGTGCAGTGCCCTTGCAGGTATAACGATTCATTCACAGAATGAATGACTAAGATGGCCAACTCAGTTATGACTGAAGAACTTAACATCCATCAGTGAATATCCAGAAACCTAGATTAAATATTCAGTTTATTTTCTCTGTATTAGATTAATCATCATCTCACAACAGACAGTGTTCCTTTTTTATCCTGTGGTCTTCCCAGCTAGTATCTTTTGTTTTGGAAATAATAGTGACACTTGTTGCATTGTCTGAGTGTTGTCAATGGAGCCAGCTGTAGATTTAGATAAGGAACAGTGGCTGCTTTTTGAGTGAAAGGGTGATTCTCCTTGACAGTGCTATCCTGGCCAATATACTGCTTCTCCCAGCAACTTGACCAAGAGATATTATCAACCCCTCAGCCTCAGCCTGGCTCAGAAGCTAAAAGGAAGGCACGCCTGCAAATAAGAAGCTGAGCTGCAAGGGTTATTTGCTGTTCCCTGTTCATCAGCAAAGAATTTGCTCCAAAAGTCCTTGCAGACCAACACTGAATTGGCTAAATGCAGCATGCAAGTGTTGCAGGTTTCTTTTGAACCAACAGGCACCCTTCTCTTCAGGAAAGAAGAGGTCAGTCTGGAGATGGCAGGTAATACCTCTAGAGTGACCTTTCCTTATCCAAGGTAATGAGGAGGTATGGTATTGTTGCTTACCTCGCAGGTACACCTCCCAGGATTTTAGAACACTCGACAAGTAAAAGATTACACTTTCCCCTCCATTGTGGTGTGCTGGGAGGGTGGCCAGGAAAATTTGGCTGAGTCACCAAGCATGGTGCATTCCAAGTTAAAATCTAGTCTAATTCAATATCATGCCAGTCTAATTAAGCTGTTTGAACCATTTAGCCTAATGTTGTACAGTTTCTCCTGTCTATGCTGTGGCCCAGGTCTATTTATATGAGGTTGAGGTGCTATATACTTTTACAGAAGATAGTTCTTCAGATTCCCCCAGGATGTTAAATATGCAGTCTGTATTTTACATTTGTATTTTTTCTTTACATTAGGCTCTTCAAGCACTCCAGCGACAGCCCAATGCAGCCCAGTATTTCCATCAATTTATGCTCCAGCAACAGCTCAACAGTGCTCAACTACACAGCCTGGCTGCAGTCCAGCAGGTAAGACAGGTCAAAAGATAAACATTGGCCGATATGAGGCAGCTTAGGGAAATTTATTTATTTTATTTATTTATTTAGAATTTTTGTATGCTGTCCCATTCGCATGAGCCTTGGGACGGCTTATATACAATAAATAAACACAGTACAAATAATGCACATAAATCCAGATTCACCCTGGCTGCAAAAAAAACCCTATATACGATACTAAAAATTGTTAAAATATTGTTTAAATAAAAAGTTCTTAGCCTGGTGCCGAAAAACAAATAATGATGGCGAAATGATTATGATTGATCATTGGCATTGTCTTATGGGATGCTACATATTTCCATTGGATCCCCCAAACTTTTCAACATCTAAGTGTAACTGGAAGAAGGTAACCAGAGTTTGGGCTGAGGTGTCATTAGTATCCAGAGGCTACTTGGCTCTACTACTTTTTTTTTTTCATCTACTAATTCAGTGTCATACAGCATTTGGAATATTGGGCTGGTTGCAGTCGTTATATCTGACTACAACTCAGAAAACCTGAGACGCAGAACTCACAGGTAACTTTGGGCCAGTCACTGACTCTCAGCTTCACCTACCTCACATGTATGCCACCCTGGGTTCCTTGGAAGGTTATATAAATATAATAAATTAATAAATTTATGTTTCTTCAGCTACAACTCCTATAATTTCATTCTGAACTGCACTAGGTTGAGAAAGGGTGTACTAATCCTAGGGAGGCTATAATACTATCAAACCAGTGTTTGAAGGCAGTTTTATAATGGTTGAGAGCAAAAACCTGAGATTTAATCTAGACAAGAGGAAAGGCTGTGGGTAGGGAAATCAAATGCTCTGAGTGGAAGCAGATATAAATCTAATGGGGATTAGAGGTGGTTGCATTTCCCTATAGAACCAATTGTGCTGCTTTGAGACTTCAGTGAAATGCATCACTAACGAAAGAAGTTGAAGTGATAATTGGGCCAGGAATGCTTATTTGGGGAATTCCAGCCTTTTCATAGTTATTCATGCAATGTTAACATCTAAACTAGACTATTGTGATATATTCTACATGACACCACTTTAAAAACACATCAGAAATTTTATCTGGTACAGAATGCAGCTGCCCAAGTATTGCGTGTATGTGAGGCTGGCTCATGCAATACCTTATAGGCCTGGATTGCCAGGTATAGTTCTGAGTCCAATTTAAAGTGCTAGTCCCAATCTTAAACCTTAATTGTTTGGGGGCTTAATTACTTGAGGGACCATCTATACCTATATTAGCCTTTGTTGGTTGGTTTGTTTGTTTAAAACTTTACTATACTGTCCCTTACCAAAGTCTTGGGATGGTTTAACAATACAAATTGTAAAATAAAACACAGCATCCTAAAAATTCAACTAACAGTAAAACCCTAGTTAAAACAAGCAGATTGGGAAAGTAAAAAGGGTTTAGCCTGGCACTGGAAAGAAATAAAGATTGGCAGCAGATGCCCTTTGTGCTTTCATGCCTCTAAGAGCAGTCAGATTGGTGAGGGCCTTAGCTAGGGTGCCATCACATCTCTGGAGTGCAAGACCAACTGAAATTCATTAGATCACCACATGGTACTCAGGAAAGCCTTATTTTTCCTTTGTTTTTCTCAGGCTCCTTAGTGTCATTGTATAGGACCACTAGTAAATTTGACTGAAAAGTTGTTGTTTGTTTGTTTTAGCATTATTTGTTAGGTATATCTATTTTATTGCTATCACTGGCTTTTATTCTGATTGTTGTACTACTTTTGCTTGTGAACTATGTTGAGAGGGTTTTGTACCCTACAAGATGACATTGAAATATTTTAAATATATTTGAGAAATAAGACTTTTTAAATGTTCCTGAAGCAAAATGTAATCATTTTATTTTACTTTTGAAAACAGAAAAGGATGGGAATGGGGCAGCCAAGGGTTATTGTTTGGCTAAATCTTAGTTCTGAAAAAAAAAGTTGCTATTTCTTGCAGGCTACAATTGCAGCCAGTCGACAGGCAAGTTCTCCAAACACGAACACCCCTCAACAGGCAGCTACTACACAGGCTTCAGTAAGTAACTGCCTTTGAATACCTTCTATCCCATGTCTATTTCTGTAGAAGATCATGTGGGTACGAACAGATAACTTCATGTTTGAGTTCAACAATTTGGTCCCCAGGGAAGATATTTGCTTCCTCTGTGGGGGAGGGTAGTTAACATCACCACCTGAAGAGGAATGCAAAAGATCTCATTGGGAGGAGATGGTTAGGTTTTTTTTTTTTTTTTGCAAGTGAGGAGTACCTATTAGAGGAATGCTGCACCCTAATGAGAAGGAAGCTGAAGGAAAGGGGAAGCCTGCATCATCATCATTCACAGAATACAGCTGTTCCTTTGTCAAACTTGTGACTTAGCTTTTTGCCCACACCCCTTTTTAAAGCAATTTTGATGATTTGTAAATCATAATTGGATGGTGTTGGTTTACAAGTCTACTGTGACCTTATGGTAATTCTGAAGATACTGTGGTCCAAGGGTTTTTCAAGACCGTTTATTTCCAGAAAAGACTGGGTTAAAAAGACTAGGTTGTGTGCTCAGCCCTTTCCTCCTAGCAGCTCTCAACAGTGGAGATAATTTAGTTAATAATTCTCATTATCTGCAGCAAGCATAGATAGATATGATAGGAGTTGTAGACCAACATCATCTTGGGGACCCCAGGTTGCTTCAGACCATCTCTAGGCTTTTAGCCAGCTGAGGGAAAGGCGTGAAATTAGAAGTTATACTTGATTGCTGGATCTGGAAGGAAGGCATGGTCTTTCCAGTCATGGAGTTGAGCCAAACCTTTTTGAAACTGCTTTCAACTTGGATTCTATTAAAAGTGTTCACTTTGCAGATTAATTTGGCAACCACATCAGCTGCACAGTTAATCAGCCGTTCACAAAGTGTGAGCTCCCCTAGTGCCACCACCCTGACACAGTCGGTACTTCTGGGGAACACCACATCACCACCTCTAAACCAGTCACAAGCTCAGATGTATCTTCGGGTAAGAGATGTATAAACATTGCTTTAATCTATCATAAATGCATATATGTTTTGGTCCTCTTACTTAGTCACTTTTTGGACCAATCTCCAATTCTCATATAGTCAGCTAGTCTGTTTTTAGCTCTGAATTAGCTTCCTCAGTTACCTTGACCACTTGTTTGATTTTCAGTGTAGATGTACTACAGGGACAGAGGATACTCTGAGTGTCATTTACAGTTTTATTTTCCATGAACCTTAAAGATCCCATGGCACTTAGTGTGATTTTGTCAAATGTGTTGGAACATGGATCCCTTCTTTTGTTGAATCTGAGCCTCAGGTAATAAATAACCTCATGATTTTATAAAATCAGGCAAGATTGCTTATCTGAAATAACACTTCTGTCTGCTCAGTTTAAATGCTCTGGTTTATAATACTGCCTCAGTGCCTGGAGGGAAAGCCATCATCTTAATTAGGCTTCATGAGAAACATGCTTCTTGCTTGCTCTCTCTGTCCTTCTCCAACTGCCATTCCATCTTTAAGTTTTAGTCATGCATCTGCAAAATAACAAAGAGTTAGTGTGACATGGTGGTTAGGGTGCTGGACTTGGGATCTGGATTCTTGACCTCACTCAGCCATGAAGCTCAGTGAATGACTGGGCAGGAGTGGAAGAGGACTATGTAAGCCACCTTGGGTCCCTTGCAAGAGGGGAAAAAGGCAGGATGTAAAGGCAATGTAATAATATTAATTTTTTTTTATCTTGTTGCCCTCAGGTTTTCACATAATTTTCACCTTCTGATTTGCTGCAATGGTTATAGCTCTACAGTATGAAAAATCTGCTTTTCTAGTGCCCCTAAACTAGCAAGTGTCCCTCACTCCATTGTTCCCACCTTTAACTGCCACACACAAACCCATAGATATTTCTTCCTAGGTAACTTATGGGAAGTGAAAGGTTTTTAGGAATAAATAGCATCTGCTTTGTATCTCCTACAAAGTGGCTGGGATGAAGAAGTTTCTGAGACGGGATGAGTGTCTACTGGAGACCCTAAGCTCCATATCATGTTATAACCTGTTTGCTTGTGGTTCGCTTTCTTTCTTCCGTCTCTCCATTCTGTTCTTTCCATCTCCATACCACCTAATCCTCCCCTAACAGCCGCAGCTGGGAAACCTGTTGCAGGTGAACCGGACATTGGGCCGCAATGTACCTCTTACCTCCCAACTCATCCTGATGCCTAACGGGGCTGTGGCTGCTGTTCAGCAGGAAGCACCACCCACTCATTCTCCTGGGGTCCACACAGACATGGACCAGGTCAGTGACACCCTCTTCTGGGGTTCCCACGACCAACCTGGCCCATCCCAGTCTTAAGCATGTCCCTATAGATCAAACATTCCATGAGCATTAAACTTTATGCTGTACTCTGGAGTTCATGGCAGCATCCATTCAATGTCTGCACATTTCAGCTAATGGCTTACCTTCTGTAGCTGATTGATACCAGGTACTGAGTTGTACTTTTGTGTGTATGTTGGTCATTCTGTGTGGAATACTCTTACATTCTTACCCTAACAAGAACATACACTGCTTACTGCTTTAACATGAACAGGTGTTTCTGATTTAACAAAAGTTAGCTAAAATCATGACTGGGCTCAAGAAATTTGAGAAGCCTGCTTTCTGCATGATAGGGGATTTCCTAAGTACATGGAAAATGGTATGGTAGGGTAAACTTGTACAACTATGGTATTGCTTAGGCTGCGGCTTGCTGTATGTTTCCTATCTTTCTGTCATCTTTCTTTTCTGCAGTTTTATGAACATTTTTGGAGCTCAGGGATGTGTCTTCATTCTGTATCTATTCTTTTTTTATCTGTATCTGTTTTCTATCTTAACTAGTATGGTGTTTGTTTTCTTTTTCGTTTTTTTTATCCCAGACATACAATAAAAAGGAAAGTGTTTGTGTATGCAGGCAATAAGATGAATTAGGAGTAGTAAATGACAAGTTAGTAGTAATGTGAGAGATTGTTTGAGACTGAGTTAAATGCTTTAATTGGAAATCAAGTATGTATGTGGGGGTGATTATCTCCAAGGTCCATCCAGAAAGTGCCATGAGATCTTTAATTTTGCACAAAAGAAGGAAGAAAGGTGGGATTAAAACTTCTTCCTAAGGTCTTATCTTGTTTGTTAATTTGTTTGATCCTCACTCTCTGTAGTACCTTGTGATACTGGTAGGGATTTATGGATCTGGTTAAATTGTTTCCATTTGCATTTCACAGATTGTCAGGTATCTTTCTTTACATTGTCTAATAACTGATGGGATCAGATTGTTTAAAGAGATAAGAATTTTGTTCCTTTTTCTGCATATGCAAATACACACTTGCACAAATCTCCCCATAAAGTTTTTAAAACTGGACAAAGACCATGGAATTGATGAAGCTGATTCACAGTGGAATCAGCAGGTCAGATGCATAGACATTGGAACTCATTTGAATCTGTTGTAAATTTCTGTTTAGATATCCACCAACACTCAGTTTTGGGCACAAAACCAGCTGATCCTCAGCATGGATTTTCAGCATGCCCTGTTTTACCTATGCCTCTTATAACTTAATCCAATGACATTTTTTCTCTCTGCATTTTTTTCCAGGTGCAGAATTTGGCTGTCCGCAGTCAGCAGTCCTCAGCAGCTAATCCACAGCTCCAAGCATCATCTCCAAAGGCTGTTTTGCCAGGGAATTCCCAGGCTTCAGTACTACCCCAGGCCACACATTCTGGCCAGACCTTGACAGTGACACAAGCCTCTTCTGGCAATGTAGGCCAGTCACTCAATCTCAGTCAAGGGCCAGCAGGAAATAATAGCATTTCTGGGGGTGTGGCATCCTCTGTGGGGAATCATACTACCTCTGGGCTGAGCCAAGCAAACTCATCTGGTCCAGGGGGCAGCTGTCAGAGGAAAGGGACTGGTGTAGTTCAGCCATTACCAGTAGCTTCTGCTGCCCAGGCAGTGACTGTGAGCCAGGGAAGTCAAACAGAGGCAGAAAATGCAACAGCAAAAAAGGCTGAAACAGATGGTAATGGGCAACAGACCGTGGGCATGAACCTGACCAGGACAGCTACACCAGCCCCAAGCCAGACTTTGATCAGTTCTGGTAGGTGACAGTTGTTGCTTCTCTCTCTCTCTCTCTCTCTCTCTCTCTCTCTCTCTCTCTCTCTCTCTCTCCCTCTCCCCCTCTCCCCCTCTCTCCCTCTCCCTCTCTCCTTCTCTGGAGAGCCTTCACATGGCCACCTGGTAATCTTGTTCCAAATATTTCTTAACTGGGTTCACTATCTTGACAATTGTACAATCCTTGCTAGAGAACAGAGAACATTGGCACTTACCTAGTTTAGCCCATAAGTTGATTTTAATTGGGCTGCTCAGTTAGAGAAGAAAGGCATGATTTGAAGTTGGCATGCTCTGGAGAGGAAAAACTATACTATCACATATTTTTTGATCGGGGTTATTAATGTAATGTTGAAACTAACATTTTGCTTGTATTATCTGGCAGTGGCTCTCCAAGGTCACATGCAGAGTCACCCAGCCCTGCATTCTAAATTCCCTTTTATCCAGTACTGCCAGGGAAGTGCTGCATGCAAAGCATGTGCTCTATGTTTGAGCTATGGTCCCTGCCCACTTAGGAAATAAGCATATGGTAAGGCATTTGCCAGCCTCTGTTACCTTGGCCTCTTCTTTTCTTCATCTTCTCCATATTGTAATTTTCTTGCCTGCCTTACTTTGCTTAAGTTACGTTAAGATGACAAATAACCCTGATGGTGCTTTATAATTTCTCTTGCTGCTTATAGCCACATATACCCAAATACAGCCTCATTCACTGATCCAGCAGCAGCAGCAGATTCACCTCCAGAAGCAAGTAGTGATACAGCAGCAAATCGCCATTCATCACCAGCAGCAGTTCCAGCATCGTCAGTCCCAGCTCTTGCACACTGCCACACACCTTCAGCTGGCACAGCAGCAGCAGCAGCAGCAAGCGCCACCTCTGACCCAGCAGCAGGGGCCACCACCAACTCCTCAACAAGCCCAGCCTCTTCAGGGTCAGCAGCAGGCCCAGACCCTTGTGGTCCAGCCCATGCTGCAGTCACAGCCCCAACCAGTACAGATCCAGCAGGACAGTCTTTGTCAGGCAACCACTAAGTCATCTGTCTCTATTCAGGCCAAGCCACCAATAGCCCCTCTTAAACTTTCACAACTTGGTGCTGCCAAAATCTCAGCTTCCCAGCAGCCCCCACCTCATATACCAGTGCAGGTGGTGGGCAGCCGCCAGCAAGGTTCAGCCCAAGCTCAGGCACTGGGGCTTCCTCACATGAATACAGCTGTGCAGACCCCAAGGGGCATACCAGCTGTAGTCCAGCCAGTGTCCCAGTCCCACTTGGCATCCTCACTGTCCCAGACCTCTTCTGTGTCATTTGCTGCTTCTCCTCCTCCTCTGCAAGAAACCACTGCTCCACTCTCTTCTGGGGTCAGTGTGGCACAAGTCCAAGGCACAGCACAAGTGAAGAACACTGTTTCATCTCCAGCTCAGACATCACCAGCGGCATACTATGTCCAGCCTGTCCAGTTGCCTGTAAGTGTCACTATTAAAATGCAGTGTGGAACATAATAAATGTGTCAGATCCTAACCTTCTTACACATTTGGTTAGGGCTATGAACTAGATCAGTTGTATGGGTATGATGACGTGTTCTGCAACATACCATTGTATTTGCAGATGACATTAGGCAGCAAACAGGGAGTTTACTGAACCCCTGATGGACAGCTATGTGTGGTCGGTAGGCTGACTTAGGCTGACCTTGAAGGGGTCCCTGCCCAATTCTTTTTTCCAACTTTTAAATATGTATCATGACAGGTAGGTGCCTCTGATTAGGCATTTTGTACTGCTGCCCACAACTGTTTCCCAAATTCCTGTGTGACCATTGGCCCAAAAAAGTGGGAATCCCTGGAACAAAGGGATGAAAACAGATTTACTGTATTTTTCCGTCTATAAGATGCCCCCATGTATAGGATGCCCCCCCACTTTTCCGATGAATCTCCAGCGAGCAAGCTGCTACTGCGCACGTGCCGCCCCCCTGCCCCCCTGCCTGCGCATGCTGCTTTGTCACCCCCCCGTGCACAATCGCGCCAGCCCCCCCCCCCAGTGCGCCCACAGTTCTCCTCTTGGCCCCCCATGTATAAGACGCACCTCCATTTTTAGGTAAATATTTTTTAAGAAAAAGTACCGTCTTATACATGGAAAAATACGGTACTAAGATCCCCTAAGAAATTGTTCCGTACAACAGTACTGTCTTCTGCAGCTCTACCAGTCCCATTAAATGAACAACTTCCCAATGGTTTTTGCCCCTATTAATGAAAGAGGTGGGATTCCATATTTACATTTTTGCCTGAGGTACTGAAATATCTTGTAGCAGCCTTGTTCATAGTAAAGCTGAATTTTCAAAGTAGCCCTCTAGATGTTTTTTCTAATTATTTTTTGTGTGTGAAAGTGCAAATCAAAATGATCCTGGCAATGAAACATTTAACTTGTACACAGAAATGTTCCTCACACTTGCAGGGCTTAAGATAGTAATTCTGTGTAGTATATTTATGTTACCCTGTTGCTTTCTTCCTAATATGTTTATGGCTGAGATCCAAACAGCCATGAGTGAGTGGAAGCAATTCTGCTTACACAAGTATCTCCCAACCTGTCCTAATAACAACCCCTTCTTTGTGGTCTCTGTGCATCACACATACGGGCTTTTGCACCTGCGCAGAGAGCCTGAATCAGGAAAAACTTTCATAGGTTACCATTTACTTTGGGCGGAAGCCCCTCCCTTTCCTGTTCCCAGGAAGTACAGGAAAGAGCTCCCACCCATTCCTTCAGCTCCTTTTCAACTGCCACAGAGCTCAGATCAGGAATCGCTTTTCTCTTTCTCCAATTTCCTACTAGGTATTTTTTAGTGTCCTTTCTCAAGCCCTTGTTTGCACCACTAAACCTTGACAAAAAATGCACTTTCCTTTTTTCACTCTTTACTTAACCCCATCCCACCAAAATACTTACTTCATTCTACTTTCCTATCAAACAGAACCGACCCCTGCCTCTCCTCGTTCTCAGTCCACCTTTCTCTCCCTTCCCCTCCCAATTCCATGCACTCAATGGCATTGGCTGTTTCCACAGCTGCTCAGGCTGCAACAGTAAAATGCCTGCCTCAAATGGACATTTCAAGTGCCTCCTCTGCTTTGGCCAGGAACCCATGGTGGAGGCCTGTGCAATATGCCAGGCCTTCACCAAACAGACCCACAAGCACCAGACCTTTATACTCAGGACTGCTCTTTGGAAGATGACCATCCAAGATGGCCAATTCCTTGGAGGGTGGTGACTCTCACCTCTCTACCTCCACTCTGAGGGAACCACCACCCAAGCCACATTGGTCCACCACCAAGGGCACCTTGAAGCATGTGAGAAAGATGACCACCCCTGTCCCACCTAAACCCAAGCGCTGATGCTGCACACGCCCAGGCAAGCAAGCAACCCCCACCATCAGGTCCCTTCAGCCCACCAACCATGAGGAAGTCATGGGGCCACCAAGAGAGCCACCCACTGCACTCCGAGATGACCTGAGAGAACGCCCAGCTACAGCCCCAGATCACAGCTCATGCACCTCTGTGCTCACTCCAGAGGATCATCACTGCCAGCTTCTCTACCACAGGCATGACCATTAGAATCAGGCTTGACCCCAAAGCACCCCATGACTCTGCTCTCGATGCCAGAACTAGAGGCCACAGGACACTGGGATCGCTCCCACTCTCCCTTCTCTGACCAAGACTGAGTCTCTACCCCTAGCCAATACAAAGACTCCTCCATCTGATCCACTGATACCAAGGACGACGACAAACTGTGAGGGTTCCAATCTTCCTACACATTTGGCTCGGGCTATGATCTAACTCTGTTGTCTCTGAGGATCTCTCTGACTCCATCTGCTGTTGCCATTACTGTACCAGCCATTGCCTCTCCACTATACCATCACCCACTGGACACAGTGCTCCAGGTAGTGAGATTCTGAGTCATCCAGGGCCCTCAATACCATGCTGATACCATGCCACACTACCTTGCCAGTGCTGCTTTCCAGTACTGAGGTGCCACCACTCCTCAGTACCAAGCCACCACAACCCCTTCAATACCTGGACATCACCACTTTCCACTGTCACCAATGTCCAGGGCTCCAAGCCAGCACTCTCTATCTCCTTCCTCCAGTTTTGAGGACTGTGCATCTGGGACAGAGTCAGTCCTCTCACTGAAACCCTCCAAGCCCTCAATGCCTTTGACGAGGTGGACCCTGCATCCACCTTGGGCTATGGATGTCCAACTATGAGGTCACCATGGCCCAGTACCAACTCTTCCAGGTCCATGTGTGAACATCTCCCTCCTCCTTTACTCAGAGGCAATTAGGCTCTTCAATTACTAGATGGAGGCAGCCAGGCATTCCATGGACTGAGATGCCAGGGCAATGATGGGAGTTGTCACTATTTTCCAGCTTATCTGGCTGCACTTAGCAGGCCTCCTGCAGGAGACAAACTTCAAAATTAAGGAACCTCCCTTTGATAGGGAGGGAATCTTTCACTCACAGACCAACAAGGACATGGATTCCATCCAGAAGCCTAGTCCACAGCACAACGATTCCAACAGGTGGCTCCAAGGCAGTGTAAGTGGTTCAGGGGACACACAGTGCAACATCAGTGACACACATACATTGACTGTCCCTTTAGGCCACAACCAGGCCACCAACAAAAGCAGCAGGACCTCCCCCCACCCCCCAATTCAGACAGCCTCAGAAGCATCAGAAGGCCAAGAGGGGCTACAAAATCAAATTTGATACCCTCTCACCCCTTAGCACAACACCGTCCCCAATACTTCTGTCGGAGGTGGATGCCCTCCTCTCCAATGGTGCTATCGAGAAGGTCTGCCACAACCATGCCAGGGGCTTCTGCAGGGGCTTCTACATCAGATACATTACCGTACTGAAGTGGGACAGAGGATGCAGTCCAATCCTGGACCTTAGTGATGTCAACCAATTCATCACAGCCAAAAAGTTCAGAATGGTCTCTGTACAAGGCATCCTCCCAGTCCTACAAAAGAGGGACTGGTTCACCTCAATCAACCTAAAGGACACCTACTTCCGTATTACAATTCACCATTACTATAGACACTTGCTATGTATCTTCATCAGGAAGAAGACCTTCCAGTTCTTGGTATTTTCATTTGGCCTCTCCACTACACCCAGGATCTTCACCCAAGTACATGGTGGTAGTATGCACCCACCTACGGCTCCAGGGATTTCAGGTCTTCCCATACCTTGACAACTGGCTCCTGGTAGCCCCAACCAAGACAGAGCTACAACACTCGATCAGTGCCACCTGCTTGCTGCTACAGACATTGGGAATATGTCTGAATTCCTACAAATTTGTTCTTTCCCCTTCCCAGTCTATCCTATTCATAGGGGCCCACCTCAACTGGACCAGAGCAAAAGTTCCTGCTGGAACCCAAGGCAACAGCACTTTAAGACCTCACCACCAACATCAACTCCAGTCAGTGAACCACAACCCACAGGATCCAGAAACTCTGACCTCATAGCAGCCATGGTCACTGTGGTCCGCTTTGCATGAGACCTCTACTGCTGTGGTTCATTCACAACTACAGCACCAGCGATGACCCACGCCACACCTGACTGACTATTCCACTCAGTCAGAAGCAGCCTGCTGTGGTGGATCACCCATGCAACCTCAGAACAGGTGTTGCCTTTCTCCCGCTGAAGCCCACCATTACCATCACAATAGATGCCTCTAACTCCTGCTGGTGAGCAGAGTGCAACAATCTGCACACACAGAAGTTGTGGAACGAGCATAAGGCCAAGCATCAACCTTGAGGTGAGGGTGGTCTTCAATGCCCTCATCTCCTTTCAAGACACCCGTCTAGGTCAGTACATGCAGATCACCATGGACAATATCACGGTGACATACTACATCAACGAATGAGAAGGCCACTCGCCAACCTTGCCATAACCATATGGAATTGGTGTTTCACCAAACATCACCATTGCAGCAATCCACATGGCAAGCAAAGACAATGTCCTGGCCGACACTCTCGGCAGCACACATCTGGACACTCATGTGGGAGCTGAATGAGATGACCCCTGCTAACCCTTCATGAATGGTGGGGACTCAGCACTAGATCTCATCACCAATCCCCAGAACACCACCTGGCCGTAGTTCTACTCCAGGGCAGGGATTGCCTCTCAAAGCAATGCCTTCCTACTCAAAAGGATTGTTTTTCTCACATTTTTCTACCTCTTCCCACCCCTCCCACTGATCACCAGGATGATCTCCAAGATCCAGAAGGATCTTCACTCCATGATGGCCAAGGCAACCATGGTTCCTCTGCTTCCTGCAACTCTCAGGGGACCCTCCTGCTTCTCCCATGCTCCCATGACTTGATCTTCCAAGTCAGAGCCTGGGTTCTGCACCCAGATATCTTGACCCTGAAACTGACAGTATGGAAAATCCACCACACACACACAAGTGTGACCCTGCCCCCCAAGGTTTCAGCCATAATAGATGCAGTCCTCAAACCATCCACAGGAAAATCCTACACAGCTAAATAGAGCAGCTGTACCACATTTGCCCACCAAGAAAACTTCAACCCACACAAGTCCTAGCATTGAACAAATCTTTCATGTCTTACAAACTCACTTCCAAGCTGGACTCAGCACCTCCTTGATATATGTCTACCTAGTAGCGATCTCTTCCTTCCACTCATCGATTGAGGGGGCATTTCACACACCCATTTGCATGAAAATTCTGCAACACTGGCCCCTCTATCTGGCCTTGCGCTCCAATGTGGAGCCTTTTGGTTGTCCAAACAGGCCCTCTCTAGGAAGCCCTTTGAACCCATGGCCACAACAGACCTATTCCTCCTGTCCTGGAAGCTGGCCTTCCTGGGGGCCATCATGTCAGCTCACCACACTAGCAAACTCTGCACCCTCTGCAAAGACCCCCATACCTCAGCTTCCACTGGACAAGGCTATGCTCCACCCAGATCTGACCTTTGAACCCAAGGTTGCTTCCACCTTTCACCTCAGTCAGAATATTGTGCTACCTGCCTTCTTTGCCATCCCATCCACTCCAGTAGAGTCTTCTCTACACCTACTGGACATCAGGAGGGCATGTGACTTCTACAAGTCTAAACCAAGCAGCTCTGCAGATTCCCCCAGACTCTCTGTGTGCCATGATGAACAGAGGAAAGGGTACTCCGTCTCCTCTCAGAGACTGTCTAAGTGGTTTCCAGTGCCATATGCCTTGCCTATAGGATGGCCAGCCTCCAACTTGCTGCACGACTCAGACCCACTTCACTCAAGCTCTGGCCACCTTCACAGCCCTCCTTGCCAGAGTCCCACTTCAAGACATCTATAGAGCAGCCAACTGGTCAACTCCCTCATCCAACTATAGGCTAGGTGTCTGCATGAGGGCAGACTGCCCCTTTGGCAAAGCTGTCCTCTCCTCCATTCTCCAATGATGACAGTTCCCACTGTTCTCCATGGGGTAAGCTAATTAGTCGCCCATATGTGTGTGAGATGCCCAGAGACTATGAAGAAGAAAGGCAGGTTGTCTATCTGTAACTGTCAATCTTCAAGTGGTCATCTGTGCATTCACAAAACCCACCATCTGGCCCTAGTTGCTGCCATCTCTCCTGAAGCTATGCCTTCTTGGGACACTCAGAGCTGGAAAGGGTCAGAACCTCTACTCAGTCCAGGGACTATTGGCAGTCTTCATAGGAACTGAGGAGATGGGTGGGAGCTCCTCCCTGTACTTCTTGGAAACACCCAAAGTGAATGCTAAGCTATTAAAGTGTTTTCTGATCCATGCTCTGCACAGGTGCGAAAGCCCATATGTGTACAGATGATCATTCAAAGAAGAACAGTTACAGGTAAGCAGTCTGCTTATCCTGCTGCAGCATTGCCTATAGCAAATCCTGTGCTGATCCAGAGGGTTTCTATACTTAAGTGGCTTCCTTTAGGGAGTGGGGCAGGTGTTGGGCAGTGGGAAAACATGAGAAAACCTTTTTGTTTGAGGTTTGATTGTGCTTCTCTAGATCAGGGGTCCTCAAACTTTTTCAGCAGGGGGCCTGTTGAAAGGTGCCGGTGGTGGGCGCAGGCCAGCAAGGTGGTGTTGGCGGGGGGGGGGGGGCTGGTGAGGGGGCAAGGAGCGCATGCGCTGCACGGACACGGTCACAGGAAGTCCAAAACCTTTGAGGCGGGCCAGATAAATGGGCATGGTGTAGTTTGAGGACCCATGCTCTAGATGCAGCCCTTTTACAGAAGTCAGCTCTTCCATTCCCAAATAATCTCTAGATTATCTCCCTTCATTTGGTCTGTTTGGTCCCACACAGAGCAAGCCTCATACTTTGGCAATTAAGCGCAAGGCTGAATCAGAAGAGGAGAGGGAAGAATCCAGTGTGGCACCTTCTCTGATAGCTGCCAAATCTGCTTCTGTGGCTGAAAGTCCTAAAGCCTTGGAAGAGAAGAGTGGCCTTACAAGTGAAGGGAATAAGGGTGAGTTCGACTGCTCTCTGTGGATCATTTATCTTGTTGCGTCTGGTGGCACTTTCAGGATGGGATGTATATCTAGACACGAATGCCCCTGCACACAAAGCAGAATCAGATTGATGCCGTAGAGCTTCAAAATACTATACTGCAGCGTAACGCTTTTGCATTTTGAGGCGGGATTTGGACCAGGCCTTGTTCCTTTCATAGATAGCTTTCTTCCTTTTCATAAATGACAGTACTGCCTATACCTCTGCTCAACATGTGATTATCTTGGCACTTATGGCTAAAAGTTGATATGAGCAGTTGTCCTGGCACAGTTGGTTCCTGAAGCCTTTTTTTTTTGCTCATAGTTTATGTTCTCTGTGCAATCCCTACTGGCAATGCACAGATAAGAAGCAGGTTGGTTGGAATCAACTGGTAGATAGTATGATGTAGTGGTTAAGAATGTGGAACTGGGACTCAGCAGATCTGGGTTCTAGACCCCACTCAGACATGGAGCTGACTTGGTGACTTCAGGGCAGTCACCGACTCTCAGCCCAACCAACAACCTACCTGTTGTTGTGAGGATAAGAGAGAGAGGAGGAGAATTAAGTAAGCTGTCTTGAGATCCCTGGAAGGAAAAAAGGAGGAATATAATAAATAATAGTGTCATATTTAGTTCATTGACAATAATGATAGCAAAGCACCTCCCCCCATCCCCAAATTAGGCTGCTGAAATGAAGGAAGGTAGGGGGAAACAAGTAGATTTCATATATGAAAGAATTTTAATGTAAGGCAAAAGCACATTCCTAGTCTGAGCATGTGCTCAGAGATAACTTGTTCCATTCTTTATAAGTCTATCTTCCTATGCTGGTAGACCATAAATTCTAACACAAAACTTTAAAACCTGTAAGCCTCAAGTGTGCTCACTTAAGTCTGCTACAAACAGAATAAATAATCCTGCCTGTTTAGCAATATATGCACAGATATAACCCACACAATTATATACAGAAGCTCAGGTGGATTTAATTAATACTCTTTTTGTTCTTTCAGACAAATCTGAATCCTTTCCCAGTACCACCCCAAATGCACCCCCAAGTGACCTCAGCTCTGTCACTGCTACAACTGTTCCTGTGCCTACCTTGGCTATGTTGTCACGCCAGACAGGAGACTCCAAGCCTCCACAAGCCATTGTCAAGCCTCAGATTCTTACACACATCATAGAGGGCTTTGTTATCCAGGAGGGGGCAGAGCCTTTTCCGGTAAGAAAATCAAGAGTTCAGAGTAGCCTGGGCAAGGACTTCTCCCCATTCCTCTTCTTTCTCCTCTTCTTCTTCATCCTATGAGAATAGACATCTTTCTAATCCTGTTTGCTGAAGCCAGAAGAAATTATATTGGTTTTGTAGGCCTTCCCAGTGAAACATGGTGAGCATCTGATCAAGGTTGCATGCTGATGCAGGCTTTCTTGATCTCTCTCAAATGCAGGTGGGTTGTTCTCAGCTCTTAAAAGAGTTTGAAAAGCCCCTTCAGGGAGGAGCTCCATCTAGGCAGCATGAGAACCAGCCTAGCAACTCCCCAGGAGGGGAAATTATAACAACAGGTGAGTTTCTTAGCAGTGTGAGGATTACGGTGAATCATTTTCTTTTTACTAACTACTTAGTTCATCCTGTCAAGCATACTGCTATGCGCCAGATATGTCTCTGCTCCCCATTCCTGTCAATGTTGTCCAGGTATCCGTTACCAAGCAATCCATTTTTGACATTTAGTCCTTGGATTGCAGTGGAGCTTCTCTTATCTCTTAAAGAATTACTCTACTCCGCTCATTATTGCAAATCTCCCAGTGCAGACCCATGTTGACCACTCTCTCTCTTACTTTTACATTTTATTTCCTTTTCAGTGCTTGTGTAGTGCACCACTACATTGCTTTTTGAGTTTTGACTTATCGCTCATCACAGCTAATTGGCTGATTGTTCTTCTATTTGCGTCTTCCCTGCCTTCTAGCCACTTTACACATAGTCTCCTGACTCCTTGACATACTCTTGAAGGCTCCTCAGGTACCTCAGATCAAAACCCACCACTAAAACAAAGAAAGCAAGCTAGAAACCCCCACTAAAATGAGCAGCTATTGCAAAAGAAATAGAGCAGTGAGGGAGAACTTAATTTGACTCAGAGCCACCAGTGTCTCAGGCCTTGCAACACTTGAGGGCTGCCAATTACTTTGATTTACTTTCTATTTCTTGAAGGGTTTCCTGGAGGAAAGGATCACAGCAAGATTGTTCCATCATCATTATTAATTAATTCATGCATACATTTCTATAACACCGCATAGGCAGAGCAATCTGGGCAGTTTGCAAGAGTGCATAAAACAAAACAATAAGATACAAATATCAAAACAAACATTAAAATGACTTTAAATGAATTTTAAATAGCTGAAAACATACAGTTAAAAAATGGCCCTGCAAAGGGAACGAATCACTTGGGGGGCTTCCACAGGGAACCTCCCCCCCTTCCCCGTTGCCACCCTCAGAGCCTCCCTCGAAGTTGACGCTCAGAAGAGAGCCCCAGAGATTGAGCATAATGTCCAACAGATATTGTCTCAAGTTTCTGTGACAAGTGACAAGGAACACAGCCAAGGGATGGAGTGCAGTCCCATCTAGGTCAAGGGAATCACCCAGTAACAGCATCTCAGTCTTGTATGGATTGCATTTCAGTTTGCTGGCCTGCATTCAGTCCATTGTCACAGCCAGGCTCTTGTTTAGCCCATCCACAGCCTCCTCTGCTGTCAATGAAAAGGAAAAATACAGCTGTGTGTCATCAGCATATTGATGTCAACGCACTCCAAACCTCTGGATGACTCCACCAAGTGGTTTCATAGAGATGTTAAATAGCATAGGGGAATGCTGGGAAATCCACAGGGCTGAAGAATATTCCCCAACCTCCACCTTCTGGAGCAGTCCTCCCAGTAAGAGCAATGCAGTTCTTCCTACTCTTATCTCTGACAGTCACCGGATACCATGATCAATGGTATCAAAAGCTGTCAAGAGGTCCAGGAGTATCAAAAGGTTCACATGCGTCATCTCTCTCTAGGCATAGGTCATCATACAGATCAACCAAGGTTGTTTCCATGCCAAATTCAGCCCTGAAATGGATCCAGATAATCAGTCTTATCCAAGAGTTGATTGGTGACCATCCATTCAAGAACCTTGCCAAGGAAAGGACCATTTGCTACCAGCCTAAAAGTTTTTACAGCTTTTAAAAGCCAGGAGGGGCAAGGATCCAGTACAGAAGTGGTTACACAAACCTGGCTAAGCACCTTGTCAGCATCCTTGAGCTGTACCAACTGAAACACATCCAAATAAAGCTGGACCACACTGTGTTCTCAATATCTCCATAGATTCAGCTGCATTAACTCTGGAGTCTGTACAGATACAAGAGATTTTTTTCCTGCACAGCAAATAAATTGCAGCAGGCCTCAGATGGTTCAAAGATGTCCTTGGGTCAGCATGTAATAAGCCCCAGGCAACCCTGCAGGGCAGCCAAGAGAAGAATAAATAGGCAGAGAGATATTGTTTCTTTGCTGCTCTCACTGCCTCCAAATACACCCAATTAGAAGCACACACCAGGGTGTGATTGCATCTACTGGAAGTTATGCAATCACAACATCTATGTTGTTTCATTGCCCTCAGCTCTAGGATATACCACATAGCCATATGAGCTCTAAAAGAGCGAGGTCGCTCAGGAGCAATCGTGTTGACTGCCCAGGTCATTTCTGTGTTCCACACCTCAACCAGGGTTTCGAAAGAAGTGCAAGCCATATCAGCTGAGCCTCCTGGAAGCCTTCCAGATCCATTTGGAGACAATAGGTCCTCCACCCTTGTGAAAGGGAAAAGCTGGCATCAGTCTAAATCTTAATAGGTGGTGATCTGACCATGACAAAGGGCTGAAGTTGAAATCCCCCACATTCAGAGCACTTTCCTTATATCTGGCTGAAAAGACCAAGTCTCACTAGATATGTCAGGCCAATGTCATGTTGGGACAATCCCATAATTATCATGGTGGTCATGAAATGCTGAACTGCACCCAGATAGGGTGTCTTCAGCATGAATATTGAAGTCTCCCAGGACCAACAGCCTAGGGGACCTGAACATCACATCCAAGACCACTTTCATTGGCTCAGGTAGAGAGACTGATGGATTACAGGGTGGGCAGATCTCTTCCACTATCCTAGTACAAGTTGCAAACACTCCAGATTGGTTGTTGGATGGACAGGGCGCCTGGAGAGAGAGAATTCTTGCAAACTATGGTGACCCTGCCGCCTGACCATCAAGTCTGCACTGATGCTGAACCAAGTACCCTGTGGGCACAACTGGGAAAGATTAACTCCTGTTCATCCACCCAGGTTTTAGTTATACGTGCCAGATTTGCTGCCTCATTCACTAGTAAATCATGGATAAGAGAGATCTAATTCTGCAATGATCTGGCATTTCAAAGCAGCATCTGCAGACCCAAGGGCAGGCTGATACAGCTACCAGCCGACCTGCAGTTGGCAGAAGGACCAGAAACAGCACAGCCCTTTGCTGTCTGGGCTATGATCTCCTTACCTGGCCAGTTCTCTGCTCAGTGCCGTAACTCACTCTATCCGTCACTACACTAAGTGGAATGCCCACCATCTCCCCACTTGGCCCCATAGCCTCCTTTCCAGAGAAACGTCCAGGTATATGTCCATAAAAGCATGTAAGAATCTCAACAGCTTGTGGCGGGGGGAGCATCCTCATGGCATCTTTTAAAAACACCCCTTCTGGGTTGGCCTACCCCCAACAGCAGTCACATGTCTAAATGCCCAAGAGATTGCTGGATGGCGAGGCCTGTTGAGTCCGCTCTGCACGGATGGAATCAGCTGAGGGTGCAAAGATTGCTGGCAAGGTGGGGGAGGGGCAGCTTTCACCAGATGACAAAGTGCAGCAGTCCACCTCCCCAACAGTTCCGCACCCTCCTTGCAGATCCAGGCAGTGCCCAGCCAGAGTCTTCAGTTGAGTTCTTCTTCTTGTACTGCCTAAGTTACAAAATTTCCCCTGTGGAGAGTCCATCATAACTTTACTTGTTTGCTATGTATTTGCTGTTTGTTTCAAATAGAGGGAACAGTTTTCTCTCAAGCATAAGATCTTAAGCTTACATTACGCTGTTGCTGTTTAGTTTTGTTGACTAACTATAAGAATCTGCATCTTTTTCACTTAGAGCATGACAAGAAAGGAAACCTGTTAAAATGTGAGTTTTGTGGAAAATATGGCCCAGCCAATCAGTTCCGTGGTTCCAAGAGATTCTGTTCTGTAACATGTGCCAAGAGGTAATGAGGCTTTTGTTCAGGTTTCATATGATTATTGAACTGTCATTTTAAATTATCAGGCTTCTAATTCTGCCATCAAGATACATCTAAGACAGGAGCACACATTTTCAGCCCTGAGGGCCTCATGTGATACTAGCTTTGGAGCAATACAGACAAACAATTCTGATACAGATTGCTCTTTTCTCACTGCTAGCAGCTAGCAGCAGTGAGAAAAGAACAATTTGTATAAACATCTCTGGGAGAGTATTCAGAGTCCAGGTAAGAGGGAACTGTGTGCAAATTGGTGGGAGGAAAATTTGGTGGCAGAGGGTGCAGTAAAGGGTTTGAATGGGGGCATGTGTAGCCTGAAAGTTATGGACCCTGGAGCAAGATTAATACTAGAAAGCCTGCAGGCACAGACCTGTTTGTTACATTTCTAGCACTTTTAACAATAACTTGACTGTAAACTGTAGTGCTGATAGAGTTAAACTGTTACCACTTCCCATCTAAGGTTCTTCTCCCCTAGATATGACAGTGGAGCAAATATAGTCAAGTAGTTTATAAGCCTTTTCTGCCTCCTGTTGGAAAGATAGTATCAATATTCCTAGGCAAATGGCTGACCTAAGAATGACTCTTAGCACCCCGAACATTCTACTGTTTTGCTAGGACAGTACTAAGATTTAGAATTTGCTTCTTGCATGGGAATTCTAACCACTTCATATCAAGATAAAACTTGTCTTTTTTTCTCATGCCAGGTACAATGTGGGCTGTAGCCACCAACTTCGGCTGCAAAGGAAAAAAATTAAGGAGTTCCAGGAAGCAAACTATGCCCGTCGTCGGCGTGGGCCTCGGCGCAGCAGCTCAGAGATTGCGCGAGCCAAGATTCAGGGCAAGCGTCACCGGGTGAGAATTTATTTTACTTATTCATTATTGAATTTATATTCCACCTAATCAGTAGTACAGCAGGACTCTCTAAGTGGATTTACAACGCTCATAAAAACAAAAGAAGCAGTGACAATAAAAACATAACAAGAATATACACAACATAACAGACACTAAACATGACAATATGTAATTAATATAAAATACACAACAACAACACAATATACAGCTGAAAATTTAACCACAAAGTTAAAAACAATACAGATTAACATCTAAAACATGCTAATGTTTAATTCCAGTTAAAAATGTATAAATTCTGTAGAATTAAAATCAGTTATTAAAATATCTGGAATAGAAAATAGTTTTTGCCTGGTGCTAAAAGATTGTAAAAAAGGTGCCAGGGGAGCTGCTGTTGGTAGACTGTTCCATAAATGTGGCATAGCCACTGAGAATGTTTGCCATCTTTTCTGTTAGAATAAGCACCTTGAATTGGGCCTGGGGCTCAACTGGCAACCAATGAAGCTGATTTAATATTGGTGTGATGTGGGCGCATGGACTTGCTCGCATCAGCAGTCATGCCCACCCTATTTTGCACTAGTTGAAGTTTCCAGACTGTCTTGCTGGGCATCCCCATGTAAAGCGCATTACAATAGTCCAGTCAAGAGGTACCAGAAGCGACTGTGGCAAGACTCTCTTTCCAGGAAGGGCCAAAGTTGGTAAATTGTGGCTGAAAGAAAGTGCCCCTGGCCACTGAGTCCACCTGAGACTCAACTGAGTTTTGGGTCCAGGAGCACCTGGACTCTTTCCTTCAGGGGGAGTGCTGCCCCCTCCAGGACTGGTTGAAGGTCCCCCCTTGGGTAGACAGACCATTTATCAAGAGTACCTCCGTCTCATCTGGATTGAGGTTCAATTTATTAGCCCTCATCCAGTCCATTATTGAGCTCAGGCAGTGATTTTGAATGGAAACTGCCTCATCCGAAGGACCTCTCTCAGCAGTTCATGCATAAGTTAAACATCATGGGCAACAGTATAGAGTCCTGAGGAACCCCATAGTGCAACCACAGTGAGATAGAGCAACTGCCTGCCCGCACCATCTTCTGGACACGGTCAGCCAGATAGGAGTAGATCCACTGTAAGGTATTGCCCCAGCTCTGGTTGATGGTGTTGAAAGCCACTGAGAGGTCCAGGAGAGCCAACATGGTTGCACTCCCCCTGTCCCGCTCCTGGCAAAGATCATCCCACAGTGTGACTAAGGCAGTCTCCATCCTGAGACCCCCAACCTAAAGCATGGATCTAGATAATCAGTTTCATCCAAGAGTATCTAGAGCTGCTCGGCCACCACCTGCTCAAGCACCTTGCCCAAAAATGGGATGTTCACACCTGGCCTATAGTTAGCCACAGCCCCTGGGTCCAGGTTTGGCTTTGTTAGGAGTTGTCCTATCACAGCCTCCTTTGGGTGGGTGGGACCATTCCCTCAACAAAGTGTTGACGGCCTTCTGGCCTAGGAGCAAACCTCCTAATTAGGTTTTTTTGATTAGCCAAGATAGACAAGGGTTGAGTAAACAAGTGGTGGCCTGAACAGAACCAAGTACCTTGTCCATATCAGGCTTCTATAATTGAAACTCCTCCATGAAAGTTGGATAAGATGATAGTTCCATTGAGAGAGGTGTCTAAAGTAAGTCAACTGCTGTGTTCAAATGACAGCAAATTCAAGTGACTTCGTCTTCAAAATGCTGAGCAAATTCATCACAGTGTTACCGAACTCAGCCAGTCAACAGCTAGGGCAAACCCGAGTGGACCCCAGACCAGAGCCTGAGATGAGACTTAGAGCCAAAACCAGCTTTATTCTAGTGCACTATAGAATAAAGGGAGACAAAAGGGGATGTTCAGCCCAATGCAGTGTCTCAAAAGTTGCACCCCTGGTACATGCGTTTTATACCTAAATAAGCAATTAGGTCACTAATACACTTCTCGTGCATCAATACATCAATGTAGCCCCGCCCCCAGTGCTGTTAGTTTCAAAGTGTCTTTTCTTCTGTCAAGGACCAGACATTTCCCGTGTCTATTTCTTATCTGCTTGAGATTCACACAGGCTTGCCATGTTCTTACTTCCTGCACATTTGCAACTTTCATGGAGGCTATAATTGGTTTCCACTGGCTCTTTGATTACTGTATTCGAGGTCAGGCTAGCGTGTTAGCTGTGGGTTACACAAAGTTCATTTTGTTCTTATCCCCCCTCCCTTCTGGGACAGTATAATTGTGGTGTTTTTACTATGTGGCCTTCCTCCGGCCAACTACTTTTGGGGCCTTCTTCTGGCCAATTACTTTTGGGACTTGGGCCGCACATATCGAACTATGAAGCTACAATGGCACACTACTAGGTGTTTCTGTGGGAAAAGATGGGGACTCTAGCA